CGGCGCCGCCTCCAGCCGCCAAGATGGCCGCGGGGCGGGGCCCAAGCTCCAACCATTTCCGCTTCCTGTGTGGTCGCCGAGGCCGTTGGCGGGAGTGCTTCCCGGCGGAAGGACAGGGCTGGCGGAAATGCACCGGGCCGCGCAGGCGCCTTGGTGTCCCCAGGCTCCCGGACCGGAAGCCGCCGCTTCTGATGTTACGGTCGCCAAGACACAGCCTGGCCACGCCCCGTGGCAACCGGAAGCCAATAGCCAGCGGCTTTGTGGTTGCTCGGAAACCCTTGGCGGTAAGATGGCGGCGGCTGGCGGTCGGACCGTGGCTTCGCCCCAGCCGCCGCGGAGCTCACAGAGACGGCCGCCGCGAGACGGTACGAGCTGCGTATCCCCTCTGGATGAAGCCCGCTGTCCAGACGGGCCCCGATCGCGTGCGTTAGGAGGGGCGGGTAGAGCCGAGGTCAGGCTGGGCGGGGTGAACGCGCACGGCCTGGGAACGCGGGTCCGCCCGATGCAGTCCGATGGACACATTGTCCTAAAAACGGGAGAAACGGGGTCCCCGCCCCAGGCTGTGACTTGCAGGTGAGAACGCAGTGGGCTTGTCTGTCCATCCAGGGACGGAGAGGTGGGAGTTGGGCGTGGTGTCTCAGAGCTGAATGATGCAGATGAGGCTAGCCAGGGGTCCCTAGGGGAACGTGAGGATTTTTGTTCCGTGGGGACAAGAGGACGGTGGAGGTCTGAGCTCCTCTCCGTATCTTCACCAAGGCTTCTCCGTCCTCACCACCGCCTAAGGCCGGCAATCAGTTTTTGTCCTAGCCCTCGTCTCGCCCGCCCTACCTTATCCTTGGCGCACGTCCATGTAGCAGAACCCAAGGAAAAGGGGGCCGGGACCAACACTAAGCAGAAACTGAGCCCCATACATCTTGAGCAATTAGTTAAGGTGACGCATGCTGTCATGTTGAAAGGGTTGAGAGACTAGAAATGACCTGCGGACCGCTGCAGACCTCGAGCTGCCCCGTCTCTGTCTGTTGATGCCACACGGTCACCCTGTTCATCTTCTTTCCACATACAGGCTATGGCGTATATGTATACCCAAATTCTTTCTTCCGTTATGAAGGAGAATGGAAGGGAGGAAAGAAACATGGTAAGAAGCTCCTGGTCATTCCAGAAGCCATAGCCTTGCAACTCAAAGCCAGTTTTCTGAGAAGCTTGGGCAGACAGGCGGTGGTCTTGCACCAAGCATGGGACAATACTGTGCCTGCACACTGGTACCACTTTGCCCCAGTCATGAAGGAATCAGTGTAAGACAAGTTCCTGTATGCTTAGAGCTTATTATATGCTGGTGGGTGATGGAACTGTTGGTGACAGGGATAGAGTAGGGCGATGGATGTAAGTCCCTCTGTGTGTGTTTGTGTGCGTGTGTGTGTCACACACCATCCTGGCAAGCTGTGTGCTTGTTATTGGACATCCAGGCTCCTAATCTTCAGCCTGAGTTTCTCTGTATTCCAAAAGAAATTAAGAAACAAAATTGGTAAACAAGGGAGAGAAAAATCAATCCCTGTTCTTTCCATCGTGTCTGTGGCAGCATTACAGTTTATAGAAAACCACCAGACAAGAGCCAGACGATATGTAGATTTTGCTATGAGACATTGAATCTCTTGGTTCCCGAGGAAAGCAATTGTGTACTCATCAGGCTGCCTCCTATTATCTTCTTTAGCATGGATGGTCTATTATATGTTCCCAAGTTAGAGTTACATACAGGCAAGGCATTATGGTTTGTTTCCAATCATAAAAAATGGCAAGATAGTAGTGGTGTGTGCCTTTAAGCCCTGCACTCAGGAGACAGAGACAGAGGCAGGTGTATCTGTGAGTTCCTGGCCAGCCTGATCTAAAGAGCTAGTACCAAGACAGCCAGAGCTACACAAAGAAACCCTATTTCAAAAATCAAACCAAAAAAAAAAAAAAAGGAAAGAAGAAAGGAAAAATAGCCAGCCGTTGGCCTTGTCTACAGAGCAATTTACAGGACAGCCAGGACTACACAGAAAAAAGGAGAAGAAATGACCATATTTTTTTTTTTAAGATTTTATTTATTTATCATGTATACAAACATTCTGCTTCCATGTATATCTGCACACCAGAAGAGGGCACCAGATCTCATAACGGATGGTTGTGAGCCACCATGTGGTTGCTGGGAATTAAGCTCAGGCCCTCTGGAAGAGCAGCCAGTGCTCTTAACCTCTGAGCCATCTCTCCAGCCCTGAAATGACCATATTTTAAGGAAACCTAAGCAATAGAGGAAAGAAGTTTAAAAAAAAAAAAAAAATCCCCTGGAATGGTGCACACACATGCTGGGTCTAGACTTTCCAGTGTCTGCGCTTCCTGGATTTTTTTCAATTTGTTGATTCTGCCTACTTAATGCACTAGAGAGGTTTTCATATCTACTGGCTACCAAAATGGTCTTCTCCCTTTCTTTTCTTTTCTTTTTTATTGTTTTATTTTGTGTTTGTTTTTGTTTTGAGACACAATCTTGCTATATAGCTCAGGTTAGCCTTGAACCTGAAATCCTTTTGCTTTAGCCTCCCAAATGTACCACTGCGCCCAGACTCTACTAACACCTTCCTTTTTTGTTTTCTTGTGAACCCAGCACCTGTGTTAGGTAAGTGTTCTTCAGAGAGACTGTATCCTCAGCACCTTTTTTTGTTTGGTTTGGTTTTGATTTTGATTTTTGATTTTTCAAAACAGGGTTTCTCTTTGTAGCCCTGGCTATACTGGAACTGGCTATGTAGACCAGGTTGGCCTCATACTCATAGAGATCTATCTACCTCTGCCTCCTGATTGCTGGGATTAAAGGTGTGAGCCACCACTGTCGGCACACAGATGTTTCTTATTTTTGCACTACTGTTCCTGTAAGCAGGCACTAAGACTCATATCCAAAACTTGAAGAACACCCACTTTTTAAAAAATATTTATTTATTTTTATTTTATGTGCATTGGTGTTTTCCTTGCATGTATATCTTTGTGAAAGTGCCAGATTCCCTGGAACTGGAGTTACAGACAGTTTTGACCTGTCATGTGGGTGCTAGGAATTGAACCCGGGTCCTCTGGAAGAACAGCCAGTGCTCTTAACCACTGAACCATCTCTCCAGCCTTAAGCACCCACTTTTAAGAAAGATGGCTCAGAAGTTAAGAGTGCTTACTGCTCTTGCAGAGGACCAGAGTTTGGTTCCTAGCACCTACATCTCAGTAGCTTGTAACAGCCCATATCTGGCTCCAGGAGACCTGACACCCACTTCCAGTCTCCATGGACGCACTCATGCATGGGCACACATGTATACGGTTCTCTCTCCTCAAGTGAATAGAGGCAGAGTCTCATCTGCACAGCTCATGCCTCTGTGGTCATTGCATCTGAGGAGCTGGCATGCAGGAATGTTTTGGTGGGTTGTTTTGTTTGTACAACTTTCCACTGTGTTGCCCAGGTTGGCTCAGACTCCTGAGTAGCTAGATTACAGATACGCACCACCATAGCAACTGAGGTTTTCACTCTGAAAAAAACAAGCCCAACCAGCATGGGTTGGTCGATGGTCACTCCCACTCACCAGCTGACTGCACATTGATTTCTCTTACAGGTCATGGGAAGCTATTGTTTAAAGATGGAAGTTATTATGAAGGTGAATTTGTGGATGGAGAAATCACTGGAGAAGGCTACCAATACTGGGCCTGGTCAGGTTAGCATTGGACATAGGTGGGCTATTGACTGTGTTCCCATAAACTCTTGCAGAGTTTATGGACACACAAAGTGCTGTGTGTAAACAGGGGACCTCAGGTTCCACAAATGAGAGAATGAATAACAGCATGCAGGCTGGGGCAAGGCAATGTGAAGCCCAGAACTTAGATGACCTCTATGCCCATGGAAGGCCTAGCCTAGTGAAGGGTGCCCTGGGGACTCTTAGTTGAGACTCTGCACTTACCTCTAAGACAACTTGGTCTTCACCTTAACACCTAGTTGGAATAAAGATTTATCATCCCAAAGTTACAGGTTTTTTGTTGTGTTTTTTTGTTTTGGTTTGGTTTTTTGTTTGTTTGTTTGTTTGTTTGGTTTTGGTTTTTCGAGACAGGGTTTCTCTGTGTAGTTTTAGAGCCTATCCTGGCACTCACTCTGGAGACCAGGCTGGCCTCAAACTCACAGAGATCCACCTGCCTCTGCCTCCTGAGTGCTGGGATTAAAGGCATGCGCCACCAACTCCTGACACTGTTTTGTTTTTCTGCATTAAAGATATTTTTGGCCAGACGTGATGACAAATGGCTTTCATCCCAGCACTCATATTTTAGTCATGCTTTATGTAACCTTGGATGGGCAAACTGCTCCATGGCTTGCACACCAGTGACCAGGGGTATTTCCTGGAGTTTTAGGCCTCACAGTAAGCAGATTGCTGGTGCTTAGGGGAGCATTTGTCTTGGGCTCAGCATTCAGTTGTTTGTCTAGTTTTTCCAAGATAAGATTTTTCTGTAGCTTTGGAACCTGTCCTGGAGCTCGCTCTGTAGACCAGGCTGGCCTGGAGCTCACTCTGTAGATCAGGCTGGCCTAGAGCTCACTCTGTAGACCAGGCTGTCCTGGAGCTCACTCTGTAGACCAGGCTGGTCTGGAGCTCACTCTGTAGACTGGGCTGGCCTCTTATTTAGTTGTTGTTAAAGATCTGAGAATGAAAGCTTATCCTTCACTGTGCTCCATCAGTGTCACAGGGAGGGTTTCCCAGGACAGACTGCCATCTTAGCCAGAACAGGAAACACTAGTCTATTGCACTGTTTCCTTCCTCACAGTCCACACCAAAGACTAAGATCAAGAGACAGACACCAGCCTGGTGTTGTAACACACACCCTTAATCACAACACTCAGAAGGCAAAGGCAGACTGTTATACACAGTCTGAAAAGGGCACCTCAAGCCAAGCGGTGGTGGTGCACACCTTTAATCCCAACACGTAGGAGGCAGAGGCAGGCAGATTTCTGAGTTTGAGGCCAGCCTGTTCGACAGATTGAGTTCCATGACAGCCAGGGCTACACAGAGAAACCCTGTCTCAAAAAACTTAAAAAAAAAAAAAAAAAGGAAAGAAAAGAAAATGGCATCTCCACTGCCATTGGTTTGGACACAGCAGAGAAAGAGAAACAGCCTGATTCTTCCCTCTCATCTATACCAGGAAACACCTACTCTGGACAGTTCGTTCTAGGAGAGCCTCAAGGACATGGCATCATGAAGTACAAAGCCGGAGGTTACTATGAAGGGGAGCTCCTCCAGGGCCTGAGGGAAGGTCTGGTGTGCAGGGGCTTGGGGGCTTGTGTGTACTCAGGTGGCAGAACCACTAACATAGCCAGTCTGAATTTAGAGCTGGAGAGAGGCAGGGATTGGCACCCCCTTTTCTGCCCATAGCGCAGTTCAGCCAGTCAGAGCCTATGCACAGGAAGCAGCTGCTTACCATGTACTGGGACATGTGTCGTACTTGCAGGTTAAAACATTTAATGATAATCATGGGTCCTCCAGGTGGCCTAAGGCCAGTCTTCCAGTTTCAGAGTGGATCATTCCTGGCCTCTAGAGGGCCTCCACCTTCCTGCCAGAACTGGGTGCAGGCAGAGCTCTAGGAGAAGGGTCATCCTGAGCAGGACGTGTGGAGTGAAGCTGGTACATTCTGCTTCCTGCACTAGGACAGGGGTTTCTGGAGGACCAGGACAGGCAGGTGTACCAGGGCTCCTTCCACGACAACAAGAGACATGGCCGTGGGCAGATGATCTTTAAGTGAGTATGGGTCTCAGAGGTATAAGCTAGTACTTGGTAACAGGAGTGGTCCCCATAACTCCTAGAATGCTGATGCCCTTAGGGGTCTGGGTAGGTCGATTCTGTAGAACTGGTACCCAGGCCTTAAATATATTCTGAGCCTTTGCTGTTTCTCTCTGTCTGTCTGTCTTTACGTATCTGTCTCTGTCTCTGCCTCTTCTGACACTTTTTGAATCCAGGACCTAGCACCTTTTATATGGGTGAGGACATTGGCCATCAGTGCCATTATCTTTTAGGCAGAGGTGTAGAGACCTTAAGCTTGTGTTCGGATTCCTGGGTGGATGATTGCCCCACACCTGCCCTTGAAACAGACAGAGTCACCTTTCCCATTTCTTTCTCTCTGTCATTTCCCACCTGAGTAGCAAAAGCCAAACACATCCTATACAAGGCCCAGCATGTTCTGGAAAGTGGGTCCTGCCATGGGGGAGAGGGGGTTCGTGCAGACATGTCCCCGCCTGTCACCAGCCCTCCCGAGCCAGCTCTGGCAAGGCAGGAGCTCACGGACCATCTGTTCAGGGCCTATTTTTGCCTTGGCCCCGGTGCACTTGCTGTGCCTGGTCAGAGGAGTCAGTCTGAGTCACTGCAACCACCTGGTTCCCAGCTGAGGGCCCTGTACTGTGCCCTCAGGAACGGTGACAAGTACGAAGGCGACTGGGTTCGAGACCAGCGTCAGGGACACGGGGTGCTGCACTGTGCTGATGGCTCCATATATGAGGTACTGCCCTTACGTCGTGGGGGAAAGGTGGGAGGCCATGAAAAGACTGGGGACTCTTGGTGTTTGCCCGTACTTCATCTGGCAGTGCCTGGGAGGTAACAGACTCACGTTCAATTCACCCATGAATCCCCGCACCCACCCTGGAGGCTGGCTTCTCTTGTGCTTGTTAAGCCCTCATGAGGAGCGAACCCTGTGCTATGCTGTAAGTCAGGCTGACAAGGAAGACTGAGGTCTGTGTACATGCTTGCTCTTGTCCCCATGGGAGACACTGTGGGTAGAGGATGTGACTACACTAGTGCTGTTGCTGAGAAATGTGAAGTTATTGGCCAGGAAAACTGGCATGCTACCAGGAGGGACACAAAAAAGAAACACGGATTACAGTGCAGGGAGGTCCTGAGACAGGGCTGGGCTGGCTCCACCATCCCTGAACTGATTGCACGCCAACTCCTAGCAGCAGGAAGCAGGAGCTCAAGGCCCCTGGAATCAGGGGCTTCTTGGCTACTCCAGTTGTTGCAGGTGAGGCCCTGGCAGGATCCAAGGCCGAAAGCCCAAGCGCTGTTGCTTGCTGTGATAGTGATATTGGGGGTTTCCAGCAGGAAGGAAGGACAGGTTTAGGCCTCCAGACTCCCCAGTGTCAGAGCTGCCTTAGCTGCTGGGTTTCTTGTTGCATCACAGTAACCAGCATGGCGTGATTCATATTTTTTCCAGATTTCTTAAATGGCAGTTAGAGTAACAACTAGAAGGAACCTAAACCTATACGAGATTGCCCCGACGCAGAACACTCAGAGTGGTCCTTGCTGACTCCTGTAGGCCTTTGGCCCCAGGGAACAAAACCCCTGCCACCACAGAGCCTGTGGTTCCCTCTGCTGATGGCTGGCATTGCGCCCAGTGACTAGGGAGAAATGTTCAGGGCCTAGCTCCCTGGTGGCAGTGGAGTGGTGTAGGGCAGCTCCCAGAACTGTGAAGCCACAGAAAGCCCAGCATGGATGCCCATACCTGTTTACAGAATGGAAGAGTTCTGCTTGAGTAGCTCTCAGCCCATGCCTTAGTAGGGCTCCTATCACTGTGATGAAGTACCATGCACAAAGGCAGCTGAGGAGGACAGGGTTTGTTGCATATTACACTTGCTGGTAATATTCCCTCACTGAAGGAAGTCGGGGTAGGAGCCAAGGCAGGAACCTAGAGGCAGGAGCTGAAGCAAAGGCCATAAAGAGCTCTACTTACTGGCTTGTTCCCCAAGGCTTGCTCAGCACCCGGGACCACCAGCCCAGGGGTGGTGCTACACACAGTAGTAAGCTGGGCCCTCCCACACTCCCACATCAGTCTTCAAGGAAATGTCCTACAGACTTGTCTTCAGGCTCATACTATGGCCACATGTTCTCAATTCAGGTTCCCTCTTCTCAGATGAGTCTGTCTTCTGTCACGTTGACACGAAAACTAGCCACTGTGTGGACACTGCTGGTGCCCTGCTGACCTAGAAGTTGCCTCTGATCTGTCCCTGAGACAGTGCACATCATTGTATGTACTGTTGTGACCAGTCACCAGTGTGTGCAGAGTAGAATCAAATCACATGTGCAGTAGCAGAGTGCAAAGTGATGAGGACCCAAAGGAGTCACTTCTCTTCTGCCTGTCCTGCACCCCAACTAGTGGGCTCGCATAAACTGTCCCCACATCTCTGAAGGGACATTTTATAAATGTGGGACCTGGGATCCAGACTTGTTTTTCCCAATCCACACGCCTGACCCTTCCTTCCCTGGGGTTTGGGAAAGGCCTTGCCCCAGTGGGTCTCTCCAGAACCCATCCAGCTGCTCGGGGACAATGGATGAGCTGTCACTGATGGCCCAGAAAGACACCTTCACACCACCACCTGGGCAGATGCAAAGGGAGGCTTTAAGGTCCCTCCTCCAGTCCTGTTCCCAGAGGTAGCTCTGTCCCACAAGTACTCAGACCTCCTGCAGGGCCCCACTGTTGGCTATGACCACCTCCCTGCTGGCCACTGACCATTGGTGGCTAGGATCTGTGGGGCCCTGCCCAGGCCTGCCTTTTGTGAAACCTGAAATTTGCGGCATAGCCAAGAAGAGACAGAACCATGGATGTCTCACTTTTACTGCCAACGGCTGTTAGTATGTCCACCAGAGGGCAGCCCAGATCTGCTCACCGGCAGCAGGCCCAGCCTTGGGTCCTTGTTCCAAGTTTGGATGTAAATGCCCTGGGCCCTAAGGCAAGCAGCAGAGGGACCTAAATGCCTAAATAGTGAACACAAGCCTTGAGACGGCCACACAGGCTAAAACTGTTCAAATTGCTGTGGTTTTCCTCCTGGGGCCAGAACCTTGAACTCCACAAAAGTGTTCACAAAGGCTTCCTCTCAGCTTAATCCTCAGCCCTCCCCACCCCCACCCCCCCATCCCCAGCACCCTGTGGCTGGTCTGCAGGAGACCTGGGCAGTATCCAGGGGGAAGGGACATACAGGTTTCCAACTTCAACAAACAGGCTGTACCAAAAAGCAACAGCATGGGCTAAAGCAGCCACAATCAAGTCCTCAGGAGTGACCAGAGGATTCACATCTGGACATAGAAGCCCTAAATTCCACACCCCTCAGTCCCTCTTTTACAGTGGCCTTGGTAAGGCCAAAGAGAAGAACCTTCAAGGATCTTGTGAACAGTGAACAGAAAAGGGCACCCAAGGCCAAGAGGAAAAGCAAACACTATCCAAAGCCATCTGGAAATCAGAGCTCAGATACCATAGACACTCACAACCAACGGCCAGCCTGAGACAACTTTCACTGACCTACACTTCTGAGGCAGCAAGAGGTTTCACTTGCTGCCCAAGTGAGAAAAGCTAATTACCCAGTGTGTCACTTGGCCCTCCCTCATTAGCCAAGAGAGGTGGCAGGTTTCCTGAGGCGCTCTGTCTCAGCTGATGACCATTTCTACCCTGGTTCTCCCACAAAACGGGTCACCATCTGCATGGAGTATAGTGCAGACACACCAACTAAGGGGGTCCATGAGGTGGGAGGAGTCATGAGACTTGCTTCCCACAGGTACCACTTCCCTGTTCTTTATGTTTTCACTAGTCAGCCACATAGATCTCTCTCTCTCTCTCTCTCGCTCTCTCTCTCGCTCTCTCTCTCGCTCTCTCTCTCGCTCTCTCTCTCGCTCTCTCTCTCGCTCTCTCTCTCTCTCTCTCTTTCTCTCTCTCTCTCTCTCTTTCTCTCTCTCTCTCTAGTTTTTTCGAGACAGGGTTTCTCTGTGGCTTTGGAGGCTGTCCTGAACTAGTTCTTATAGACCAGGCTGGTCTCGAACTCACTGACCCTCCTGCCTCTGCTTCCTGAGTGCTGGGACTAAAGGTGTGCTCCACCACTGCCCAGCTGTAGACTTCTCTTAAACACACACACACACACACAAATAGGAAACCATCTTGTCCATTTGTAACTGTCTAGTTCAGTAGCATTAAATGTTTAAATTACTTTTTTTTCAAGACAGGGTTTTTCTGTGTAGCTTTGGAGCCTTTCCTGGAACTCTCTCTGTAGACCAGGCTGGCCTCGAACTCACAGATAGCCACCTGTCTCTGCCTCCCGAGTGCTGGGATTAAAAGCGTGCACCACCACTGCCTGGCTAAATGCTTACATCATTGTGTGGCCATTACCACTGTCTGTTCACAAATTCATATATATAAACAGATTCTGACCCGTTAAAACCACATGCTTCCCCCCCCCATTTCCCTGGAGCCCCTGGCACCCACCTTTCTTCTGTCTCAGTCAGTCTGACACCTCTGAGGACGTCTTGTATGGACCTGTCCTTTAGTGACTGGCCTTTCACACTGAGCATCATGGCCTCAAGTCCATTCTCACTGAAGCATGTGCAGGGGCCTCCTTTTGAAGATGCAGTGGCCCATATGTATCTATGCTCTGTTTCCCTTGCTCGTTCATTTCAGTGGACACATGGACTGCTCCCTCCCTCCCTGGGCCACTAGGAACAGTGCTCTGAGCATTGGTGTGCAAGCTTTCGGGTATATAGACCCAGCAGTGGAATAGTTGCATCATGTGGCAACTACATTTTTTAATTTTTTTTATGGAGGTGCCAAATTTTTCCACAGTTGGTTGTACTATTTGAAGTTCCCAAGAGGGAAACCAATAGAGGTTCCATTTCTGCATTTCCTAGTGTCCGTCAGAGTTCCCCCTTAGCCATCTATAACATTAGCCAGTATTCCTATCTTGTAGGAAAGCAGTCCAGACCCTGAGCAAATGTCCTAGGAGAAATGTGCTATTTCTAAAGGCAAGCTTGGGACTAGAGACTGCCAGGCAGTTTGCGTGGCAGTCATGGTAACATGATTCCATCCATGTCTTTGGTGGGAGCCTCTCTCACGGCACGGATGTGTATGTCACCTTAAGCTCTGGCTTCCTGAAAATCAACGTTTCCAATATTGGTTTCCCCAGGGGGCAGCCTGCTGTTTGGCACACCTGTACACACATGAAACAGCTGGCTAGCCTTGTGGGTGTCTTCATCTGCTGCAGTTCCCAGCTTCCGCCCTTTCCTGGCATGTCTAGAGAGTCCCAGGAGCCCGTCACCAGGCAGATGAAGACAGGGCCCTGTGGGAATCCCCACCCCCATATCACTTGCCTGCCTGCCTGCCTTGAGCCAAGAAGGTCCAGGCCAGGATGGAATGACCGTTAACCCAGGTCCTTCTCTACCACGGAGGATCCCTGAGAATGTGGAACCGTGGAGCACTTGTGTCCAGTGGTAACCCTTCAGGAATGCAGCTGCTTCCCACAGCGGTCCTCTCCTGGAACCATCACAGCAGCAGTCAGTGCTGCACCAGTGCCAGCGTGTCCATATACCTGCAAAGTGTTTCCGTTCCACATCCTGAAATCCTAGGAAGTCCAGACCAGTCAAATCCAACATGCAGGTCTGCTGTTACTTGATTGCAAGTGAAGCCACCTGCCATCCCTCTAAGCTGGAAAACAGCTCTAACAGTCACAACCCCAGGAGGAGAGCCCAGCCAACCCCTCACAGGTGATATCACCCAAGGAGACCAGAAGTCCCAAGGTTTAGCAGCAATCAGTGATAATTGCTTCCTCCATGCCATAGCATCATAGAGGCCAACTCAAAAAAATACATACATACATACATACATACATACATACATACATACACATGGTCTGAAACTTGTTACTCACCCCAGGAAGGACCAGGATGTGTAAGAGCAAAGGATGGACTCATGTCCTGGATGGTCTTACACCCAAATCCACATTTATGGTATGGCTACTATAGAACCACTTCTAATAAAAGTATAGGAAGAAAGACAGCATGGGTTAACTGGAAAATGTTTCCCACAATGAGCGGGGCCAAGGGTTTGCTTCCTGCAGTTTATTAAACTTAAGTGTGCTCACTGTCATAAATGTGGCCTGCAGCTGTGGCAGAACAGGGCAGGAATGAGACTGAGCTCCACTCTGTGGGGTCACTGTAACAGTCACACAGCAGTCTGCTGTACTCATCCTGGGTACTAGCTCTGCGTCTGCTGTGTGTTTGCTCGGTTTGGGGTGCAAGTCTGAGCCCTAAATGACTTCTCTGTCTGGCTGCGTCTTCGTCACCCTCTTCTGTCATACATACCCATCCTTTCCTGCATGTCGGGCAGCAGCTGGGCAGGGAGGAGGAAAGCAGGTGTCTCCAATACCCTGGGGCTTTGTGGTGGTGGTGTGGTACCCCATTCCACCTCCCAGTGACTGAGATTGCAGACTGACTCCACAGAGCATTGCCTGGGCAGCCCTCAAGCCTCTCTGGATACTCACGGAGTGGAAGGCCTAACTGGAGCTAGCTGGCAGTTCCAGGGCTCTTGGCTCTCGAGTCCAGACTAGTAACTGTCTAGCTGCTTCCTTGGGCTGCTTCACAGGGACACCATGGAAGGAAGGGTGTTATCTACAGGAGCCTGCCTGACACTCTAGGAATTGTTTTAATATGTACCTATTCATGATCTGGGTGCAAATGTCCAATATAGAATTTATATCATTCAGGCAAGTCCATAGGTTAGTGTCTTTAGTCTCTTGCACACATCTGTAGCATCCATGTGCAGACCTGAAGCCAGGAACACCAAACTCTGGCTCTCACCATATGGCCTCTGATTCTAGCTTGTAGCCCACTGGCCACCCGCCTCAGGAACTATGGCAAATGTCATGGATGGTGACACTGTCAGCTGAGCTGGGATGCCAGGGAGCAGCCAGCTGAGAGGCTCCTGTGGCAGACTAGTGCCACCCACAGGTCTTTACCCACCGCTGCCTGGCCACTGGCCTCACCAGCAGGCACCTCCACATCACTGCACTTACCACCACTGGTGCATGGGCGCTCGCTCCTTTCTGGCCACATCCCTCCATGGCAACCACCCTATGAACAGGCACCTGGCCACATGCCCTGACATGCTCATGGCCTGTCACCCTTGTTTCTGAAAGCCCACACTGGCACTTTCTGGAAAGCCAAAGTGGGCACAGTGAGCTAAGAGAGAAGACTGCTGTTCCTTGTCCTATAGCTGAAAGCCTAGAACATCAGCCAGAGCCAAGGTGCCCCTCCTGTAGTATCCACTCAGATCATCGTTATCACCAGCCATCTGTGTGTTATTGTCACCCTTGAGAGAATTGGGACAGGAAGGAAAAAGATTGGATACAGTGAGGACAGCAGTCACAGGAGGGTGTGGGAAGCCAGGAAGCCAGGAAACTAAAGACTGGCCTGCTTGGTGGGACACCTGAATTCTCATGATAGAGAAAGCCACCATCAACCACTCTGGGAATGCATGTGGCTGATGTGTAGCCTTGGGATTTCAGGACTGGAGGAATGGAGCCACCCCAGGCACCTTGGAGCCTCGCTCAGGGGTCACTTGGCAACTCTCAGGATAAAGGCCCATAAACATCCCAGAGGGGCTTGTACCTGGGTGAGAAACCAGACCCCTGCCCACATATTCCACAGCTGGCCGCTGACCTCTCCTGAACTGAGAGGGAGCCTCCAGAGCTGCTGATTGTGAATGAGCCCTAAATGGCATGAGATTTTCAGGGCCAGTGTCTGTGAGCACCTCCTCTCCCTACCTAGCCTGAGGCCTCTCTGCATGCATCTCCTGAGATCCAGCCTCTCATCTTGTGGAGGCTGTGCTCCCAGCAGCCCATGGAAAGCTTTCTCTCAGGTTCTCAGGACTCTGACCCCAAGGCTTCTCCGTATATTCTCCCCGTATATTCAGCCTCTCAGTTCCCCTACCACCTACCACCCATTTTCCTATTCTGTCTGCATTCTCAAGACACTAGCCAGTGTTCCTGTCCCATCAGTGACCATGTGTCCTGGGAGCCCAGGCTGCGTGCCGAGGGGTTCCAGGACAGAGTAGGGCAGCCGATGCCCAATTAACTTCTGCAGAAGAATGACTCAAACCAAGCCTGTTATTGGTTGATTTTCCCCAATACAAGTAATTCATAACCAAATAAAACACCATTCTGATCTTATAGTTTTTCTATGGAAGTAATACTCCTGCTGTTTCACACAATTGCTTGGGAGCCCAAGTGTACTATAGAGGAGGCCAATGGGGCATGGAGAGTGGCACCCCACCCCCACTCCAAGGTGTGTGTGTGCTCAAGTTGTGTGTTTTAATTGCCTTTTCATTTAAAAGCTCCAGGCATCGGAACAACCCACCTCGGTCCTGGCCCCATTGTAGTCACAGGTTCGGGTCTCCTCATGATCAACTAAGTCTAAGTGCCACATCTTTGTAATAGGAGGCCTTTTGTGCTGAAAGTGTGCCTGTTCAGTGGTGTTTTGTTTGCATGGTGTATGCTGTGCCTTTGTTCCCCTCTTTCCTGGCGTCATTAAAATTCAAGGGGAGAACACTTAGCAAAGCAGCGCTAAGTGTTAGCAGCGCCTCACCACCAAAGGAAAGGCTGCATTAACCTCACAGCCCTGGACATCCCTACACTGAAGGGTCCCAGGACTCCTTGGAGCCACCCTCTAAGGCCACCTTGTTCTCTGTGTAGGGACAGTGGCACAGCGATGTCTTCAGTGGGCTGGGCAGCTTGGCCCACTGCTCAGGAGTCACTTACTGTGGGATGTTTATCAATGGCCACCCAGCAGGTAGGTGTCCCCAGCCTTTTCCCATTGTCCTTGTGGAGTCTGCTGTGGACTGTGTTTGAGCCGGGCCTCATCGTATCTCAGGTGGCCCTGGGCAGCCACATGAGAGGTGTTACACCAAGCTGGGATGGAGTGAATGAAACATAAAATCCAACCTTTTTCAGGAAATGCATATTCTGCTTGATTTCAAAAGGGCTTATGGCTATGCAGACCCAAGGGTTCTGCTCCAAGCAAGGCCTCCCACGTATGGGCTCTCCCAGCTACAGCTCCACCACAGGCTCCCCCAAGCCACAGTACCTCTCAGTACCTCTCACAATATCTCCTAGATATGGGGCCTCTTAGCCACAGGACTTTGGAGTTACTTGGTCAAACCTGACCTGAAACCCCATCCCCCGCTGCCCTGTGTGGCCTCCATCAGGTTCTCCTGAGACCTCTATACTCTGACATGACTGTAGAGTGACCCATGTCTACCTTGGCTTGGTACCTTCCTGGCCATCCTTTGCTCCTAGCGGCCCCTCCTGAGACTTAGGACAGAGATGCTATCCCAGGGGTGGGCCTAGCCAAGGACAGGAGCCCTTCTTCTAAACCTGCGGCCAACTTTCAGGACTAACAGATGCCTGGAGGCCTCAACCCCAGCAGCCTCATCTTGGTAGACCCTCTAACGGGGTGAGAAAGGACTGGAGCCCTCGGGTGCAGCAGTTACAAACACTAAAGTCCTGTTCTGCCACCAGCACAGGCTAAGAAAATTGTGGTTCTGGGCCCAGAGGTACTGGAAGTGTTCCAAGGCTCTCCCTTCACATTGAATGTGCAGCTGCAGCAAGATGATGGCGAGGTTGCCACAAGTAAGTGTCCTCGGGATGGAGACCCTGCTCTTACAGGGAAAAAAAAAAAAAAATGGGCTGCAAACCGGGAAAGGTGTGGGTTGATCCTGAGATAATACTTGCACTCATATGCACACAGACACACAAATCTTCTCTGTAGAATAGGGGGTCTTTTGAATGTTGCTGTCTAGTTATTCTAGTATCCATCTGTTAAAGATTTTTCTTTCCCCAATGAATTATCTTGGGATTTAGTTTGCTATAATTTTAAAAAATTTTTCTCTCTGTTTATGAAGGATATTGGTCTGAGACTTTTCTTTTTCCTTTTTTTTTTTTGTTTTTGTTTTTTTTGTTTTTTCAAGACAGGTTCTCTCTGTGTAACAGTCCTGGCTGTCCTAGAACTTACTTTATAGACCAGGCTGGCCTCGGGCTCACAGAGATGGACCTACCTCTGCCTCCCAAGTGCTGGAATTAAAGGTTGTGCTCCACCACCACCTGGTAATGGCAGCTCTTATAAAGGAAAGCTTTTAGCCGGGCATTGGTGGTGCATGCCTTTAATCCCAGCACTTGAGAGAAGCAGGCAGATCTCTGTGAGTTCAAGGCAAGCCTGGTCTACAGAGCGAGTGCCAGAATAGGCTCCAAAGCTACACAGAGAAACCCTGTCTCAAAAAACCAAAACCAAAAAACAAAAAAAAAAAAAAAAAAAAAAAAAGGAAAGCATTTAATTGGGACTGGCTTACAGTTCAGAGCTTTTAGTCCATTATTGTCACGGCAGGCAGATGTGGTAGAGTAGCCGAGAGTTCTACAACCCAGTTCACAGGCAGCAGGCAGAGAGAGCCACTCGGCTTGGCTTGGGCATTTGAAACCCCAGTGACACTCTTCAACAAGGCCACACATCCTAACACCACTCCCTAAGCCTTCAAATATGAGTCTGTGGGGGCCATTCTTATTCAAACAACCACATGGGGTCATTGGGATCCGTAACTGTATAGCTCAGGTTGGACTCAGACTCTCCATCCTCCTGCCTCTGCCTCACGAGTCTTGGGTTATAGTTTTATTTGATCATTCCAGCCAGTCCCCTTTTTAAGTGATACGCTTCTTCCATTTACACTTAGCGTTTTGTTTTGTTTTTTGAGTTTCTCTGTGTAAACCACCCTGGCTATCCTGGAACTCACTCTGTAGACCTCAGAGATCCACCTGCCTCTGTTTCCCGAGTGCTGGGATTAAAGGCGTGTGCCAACACCGCCCAGCCCCACTTAGCATAATTATTAATTTGGTAGATGCAGATTCACCCTGGTGTCCCTGACCCCCCATTTGTCTCAGCAGTTCCCCTTCATCAGAACGGGCAGCAAGCAAGCACGTATACCTGTTGATCCGTCTTGCCTGCTTCTTTCCGCCTTCGTTATAATTCTTATTATCTCTCTTCTGGTTTTCTGCCCTCCTGTAGATCAATGTCCCCATCTAGTGTCATCTTTCCATGCATGGCCTTAACAGTTCCTGTGATGAAGGCTGACTGTTGATGTCTGGGAGCACCTTGATTTACTTCCCCTTTGAGGGATGCCTGGAGGTGCCCCCCCCCAGCTGTAAGACGCTGTCCTCCCCCCCAGCTGTAAGATGCTGTCCTCCCCCCAGCTGTAAGACGCAGGCCTCCCCCCAGCTGTAAGACGCTGTCCTCCCCCCCAGCTGTAAGATGCTGTCCTCCCCCCAGCTGTAAGACGCAGGCCTCCCCCCAGCTGTAAGACGCTGTCCTCCCCCCCAGCTGTAAGATGCTGTCCTCCCCCCAGCTGTAAGACGCAGGCCTCCCCCCAGCTGTAAGACGCTGTCCTCCCCCCAGCTGTAAGACGCAGTCCTCCCCCCAGCTGTAAGATGCCGTCCTCCCTCACAGCTGTAGGACGCTGTCCTCCCCCCAGCTGTAAGACGCTGTCCTCCCTCACAGCTGTAAGACGTTGT